ATGGGGTAGACAACCCCGGCATCCAACTAGGGGTGGGCATTCGGTATTTCAGTTCGGTATTTAAGAATTTCGGTTCGGTATTTCGGTATTCGGTTTATCAATTGTATATACCAAATATCGTACCAAATTATTTCGGTACGGTTCGGTATTTTTTATTTTGGTTCGGTACGGTTTCGATTTAATAATCGCTAAATAAATAAACTTAATTTGGTTCGATACCGTAGCACCAAACCGGAAACAATTAAACTTTGCAAAAAGTATTTGAATGCTGACTTTTCAAATCACAAAACAAAGTACAGTTAATTAACAAAGTGTTCAAGGAGATAGAGCCATAGAGGCATCCAGTAGTGTTTGTAATTTTAAGTATCCAAAAGTGCATGAGTGTGTTTTGTTTCAATGAAAACACCATATTTAAAACAAAATAAAACTAAGAACTAGTTTTTGCTAGTAATTGATAACGATTGGTGATAGAAGAACGTAACAGTTTAAACTATTTTGCTTCTGCAATTGAGATTCTGCATAGTGCATACGTCCAGGTAAGGGAATAGCAGAAAAACCTAAGTTAATGAAAGACTTTTGGGTTATTGGGTTATTCATTATTGGATTGGGTCTTATTGGGTTGGGCTCCAACACCAAAAATAAAAAATTCGAAATTCGGTATTTCGGATTTTATGCCCTCCCCTACATCCAACCACTTGATAATCTCCTTTTTGACAACTTCTTGCATAGCCTCATTGAGTCTCTTTGTATGTTCAATAGATGGTTTGGTGCCATCCTGTCACGACCCAAATTAGAGGGCCATGACTGGCACCCAGTGCCTACTCAACCGAGCGCCACGTATCTTATTTTTTTTCTATAAGTCTCATCACGGGCCATGATAGGCCACATATATATATACATACATATATATATATATATATATATATATATATATATATAGAGAGAGAGAGAGAGAGAGAGTTGAAAATATTAGAACTTAACTCACATAACTAATCCAAAAAAAGATTTATATGGATACATAGGGGCCGACAAGGCCGTTGACATGTCATACCTAAAACTGTACACAGGACATTGTCTGCAAAACCTCTAAGAAAACATGACCATAATATATAAGTCGGGACAGGGTCCCCGACATCCTCATAAAACAAAGTAACATATATAGAACGTGACTCAGCAATACTCCACGACGATGTGGAGCTCAGCAACTAAAAGCTGATATCTGGAGGCAGCCTACAGTGGATGGTCCTCACCTCGCCTATCTACACCTGCGTGGCATGAAACACAGTGCCCCAGGAAAAGGGACGTCAGTACAAGGAATGTACCGAGTATGTAAGGCAGAAATGAAACGTAATAATAATAAAATACTATCTCGAGAAGAGATAAAAGTCAACTTATAACTTCTGACTTGCCGCTGAGGGCCATAACATATAGAATAAAACTCATTCGTATATATAAATAAAACTACAATATAGTAGTTCTATTACATCATTGTTGTGGCGTTAACTGCCCAACTAATCAGTGGTAATTGCCCGACCAGCCGTAGCGCGGTAGTAAATGTATGACTGCTCGACCGGCCGTGGCTCGGTGGTAAACGTGTAACTGCCCAACCAGCCGTAGCTCGGTGGTAAATGCGTAACTGCCCTACCGGCCGTAGCTCGATGCTAAATGCATGACTGCCCGACCGGCCGTAGCTCGGTGGTAAATGAAGATGCATGTGTCACTATATTATAACATTAACATCTTTATCATATGCCTCAATAGGGAACAAGAAACATACTTAGACATGCTTGAATATCATTTTACAGGAATGAGTAACGTAGACATCCTTAACTGCTAAGAGTAGAAACACTTATGAAATATCATTACATTTTACGTATCGTTACTTGAATCATGCCAACAAGGAAAGAGGGGATAGCCTTAACATACCTGAGTCGATTCTCTCGAGAAAGATTACACAGTACTCCCTTAATATTGCAAAATCTCACGTTAATTAAGGTGCTCTGAAATCTCGGGTCTTGATGCGTTGAAGACGCTATGGAATATCATATTTGAATTCCTACAGATCTTTGAAATTTTCACGTTATATTAATAGATAGGTGATTCTTATGTCTTTAAGACATATAATGATTCTCCTTCTAAAATGATATATGACTTAGGTTATAAGACTTGTCCAATTCACATCTCTAGTCTTGCCACCTAGATTAATGACTTAAGAGTCATACATGGGATTGGAGGGGTGTTGCCACGTGGGGGGGGGAGGGGGTTGTCTTATCCACCCATTCCTTATTTAAATAGTTAATCTCCCATTAACCAATAATTAACCAATTACCCACATAATTCAGAATTATCTCAAATTACTTAATATACTACTCATTTTTAATACACTTTACATACCCTATTGTGGTGGTCAAGGGGTACCATACAAAATCAATACATACACTACTATTTCATTAAAACATCCATGTAAAAATACATATATTTTCTCAACTTCTAATTTTCCTAATCTCATACAAATATAAAAAATTTCGTATGCTTATTTCTTAAAATGGTAAAAAGATATCCTTCTTTTATTGTGAGAAAATAATTTCTATCTTTACAATAAAGAAAATCTCATAAACTTTCTCATATTATGTGTATAATTGAAAATAGTAATATCAATAACTATATAAAATCATATTTTTTTTCCAAACTGTTTTACAAAAATATTTCACTCAAAATACCATATCACTATATATATAACGATATCAAGGTTGTTAAACTTACGGGGTCTTACAATGACATAGTCACAAATCTTTATAACCTCATGAATAGTCTTAATCCCTTCAAGCTCATATGGATTACTACGACTTATCCTAATATTAAAGTACGGGATGTAACATCCTTCCCCCCTTTTGAACTTCATCCTCGAATGTTTAAACTTGCAAGATGTACATATATACTCATCAATTATAAATGTGTATATCTTCCCGGGCTATGCTCCAATGAAACAAATATCAGGTTCTCACGGGGTCAGGACGTCGTCCCTTCCTAAAACTACTTCCTAATCCATTCGTCACCTACGACTCTATTAATCTATCTTCTAGGCGCTGACACCTACTAGTTGTAATCTTAATAACCGGGTTCATAACTTTCTATTCCATTATACTAACTTTCCTAAAATCTCTCGTACTATATGTTGTTTCCTCCCTTAGTCCACTATCCTCGGGTTCTTACTTTGCTTTCAAGCTAGCCTTAGTTTCCCTTAACCCTTCAGACGTAATGCCAACTCACTCTTATATTAATCATAATAACTGGACAATTTGCGTTAATAAGATCGAACATTACCCATAGTCACAGTACCTGACACATCATCCGATGTAGCCTCTGGGTCCTGATGACTTGTCAAAGCATATATGCGGTTCTGACTACCGCCGGAGCTAGATGCTCCACCCCTGCCTCTACCTCTACCAGTTGATGCCTGAGGGACTCGCTCTTGAGGGCATACTGAAGAGGAGGAGACTATTATAGATCTGGTGGGCTGAACCATCCCGCTTCTGTCATTCATAGGACAATCCCTCATGTAATGGCTAGGGTCTCCACAGGTATAGCATACATTAGATCCCTGACGACATTGTCCAGAATGAGCTCTACTGCATTGACCGCACCACGGAGGAGGTGCCCTCATCTGCGCTGAATCCCTCTGATTCTGAAAACCCAAAATTCTCGAGCCCTGACCTGATTCAGAATAGACAGATCCCTCATAATACGGCTTCTGCAACTGTCGGACACTTTCAACAGGATATGGTGACATAGGATCGCTAGGAAAATCCTCAGGTTGCCTAGCAGACCTAGCCTTCTTAGCAGACCCTCATCATGATTCTCGTATTGCTGTCGTTTCCGATCCTCCAAATTCTGAGCATAAGCCTGGATGCGGGAAATATCCTTACTATCGAGCAGAGCGGCCGTGAAACACTCATTAATCAAGTGTGGCCCAAGTCCTACCACAAACCGATGCACTCGGTCACTCATTTCAGCCACAATTGAGGGGGCATACCTCGCCAAGGAATCAAATCGGAGACTATACTCCCGCACACTCATATTCCCCTGTTTAAGAGCCAAAAACCTGTCTACCCTTGCCTGACGAATCTCTGCCGGCAAGTAATGACGCAAGAAAGCCCCTGAGAACTCTTCCCATACCGCTGGAGATGCATTTGTACGTCTAGACAATTCCCAAGTTTCATACCACTGAACCGCAACATCCCACAATCGGTAAGAGGCCTACTCTACTGACTTAATGTCTGATGCATGCATCACCCTCAAAGTCCTCTGCATCCTATCAATAAAGTTTTGCGGGTCATTATCTTTGTTGGATCTGGTAAACACTGGAGTGTCCAGGTTGATGAAGTCTCGAACTCTTGCGCTAATAGCCCTGTCAACGCAACCAACACCTATACCTACCTAACGCTAAGCTTGAGTGGCTACCAATCTAGTCAACAACAGTACTGCACTCCGCATATCCACATCCTCATCATGAGCAACAGGTGGAGGTACTGGGTTCCTCCTAATCTCCCGGGTGCTGGCAAAATCGGAGAACTATGCGAGGGTGTCACACTTCCCCTCAGGGCCACACTCTGGCCCTTACTAGACATTGGTGCTCTACTCACGCCCTCATCTGCCACTACTTTACCCTTCTGAGTAGTTGTAGCTTTCCTGGTCATAGGCATCGCTGTATATATAAAACAAGTCAAAAGTCAAGGGCTTTATTCCCTACGACTCTGCTCCATAGCACGATTTAATATCAAGAAGGAAGGGTAACCGGTCCCTAAATGCCCTACAGTTTCTTGTTTATACAACGTGGTGCACAACACATTTATAAACAAGACTCTACAAGACACGGCTTGCAGACAACCCTAGGACAGAACTGCTCTTACACCACTTTTGTCACGATCCAAATCAGAGGGCCACGACTGGCACCCGGTGCCTACTCAATCGAGCGCCACATACCTTTTTTTTCCTATAAGTCTCGTCACGGGCCATGGTAGGCCACTTCTATATATATAATTGACAATATTAGAACATAACTTACATAACTAATCCAAAAAAAGATTTATATGGATACATAGGGGCTGACAAGGCCGTTGACATGTCATATCTAAAACTATACACAGGACACTGTCTGCGAAACCTCTAAGAAAACATGACCATAATATATAAGTCGGGACAGGGTCCCCGACATCCTCATTAAACAAAGTAACATATATAGAACATGACTCAGCAATACTCCAGGAAGATGTGAAGCTCACCAACCAAAAGCTGATATCTGGAGGCAGCCTACAGTAGATGGTCCTCACCTCGCCTATCTACACCTGCGTGGCATAAAACACAGCGCCCCAGGAAAAGGGACGTCAGTACGAAGAATGTACAGAGTATGTAAGGCAGAAATGAAACATAATAATAATAAGATACTATCTCGGGGAGAGATAAGAGTCAACTTATAACTTTTGACTTGCCGCTGAGGGACGTAACATATAGAATAAAACTCATTCGTATATAAATAAAACTACAATATAGTAGTTCTGATTACATCATTCTCGTGGCATTAACTGCCTAACTGATCAGTGGTAACTGCCCGACCGACCGTAGCGCGATGGTAAATGCATGGCTGCCCGACCGGCTGTGGCTCGGTGGTAAATGTGTAACTATTCAACCGGCCGTAGCTCGGTGGTAAATGTGTAACTGCCCTACCGGCCGTAGCTCGGTGCTAAATGCATGACTGCCCGACCGATCGTAGTTCGGTGGTAAATGAAGATGCATGTGTCACTATATTATAAACATTAACGTCTTTATCATATGCCCCAATAGGGAACTAGAAACATACTTAGACATGCTTGAATATCATTTTACAGGAATGAATAACGTACACATCCTTAACTGCTAAGAGTAGAAACACTTATGAAATAGCATTACATTTACGTATCATTACTTGGATCATGCCAACAAGAAAAGAAGGAATTGCTTTAACATATGTGAGTCGATTCTCTCGAGAAAGATTACACAGTACTCCCTTAATATTGCAAAATCTCACGTTAATTAAGGTGCTCTGAAATCTCGGGTCTTGAAGCATTGAAGACGCTATGGAATATCATATTTGAATTCCTACAGATCCTTGAAATTTTCACGTCATATTAATGGATAGGTGATTCTTATGTCTTTAAGACATATAATGATTCTCCTTCTAAAATGATATATATGACTTAGGTTATAAGACTTGTCCAATTCACATCTCTAGTCTTGCCACCTAGATTAATGACTTAAAAGTCATACATGGGATTGGAGGGGTGTTGTCACGGTGGGGGGGGGGGGGGGAGGGGGGAGGGTTAGTCTTATCCACCCATTCCTTATTTAAATAGTTGATCTCCCATTAATAAATAATTAACAAATTACCCACATAATTAAGAATTATCTCAAATTACTTAATATACTACTCATTTTTAATACACTTTACGTACCCTATTATCGTGGTCATGGGGTACCATATAAAATCAATACATACACTATTATTTCATTAAAACATCCATGTAAAAATACATATATTTTCTCAACTTCTTATTTTCCGAATCTCATATAAATAGTAAAAAAATTCGTATGTGTAATTCTTAAAATGGTAAAAAGATAACCTTCTTTTCTTGTGAGAAAATAATTTTTATCTTTACAATAAAGAAAATCTCATAAACTTTCTCATATTATGTGTATAATTGAAAGTAGCAATATCAATAGCTATATAAAATTATTTTTTCCAAACTGTTTTACAAAAATATTTCAGTCAAAATACCATATCACTATATACATAGCGATATCAAGGTTGTTAAACTTACGGGGTCTTACAATGACATAGTCATAAATCTTTATAACCTCATGAAAGTCTTAATCCCTTCAAGCTCATATGGATTACTACGACTTATCCTAATATGAAAATACGGGATGTAACACATCCTCCAATTTGATCTTATGCATGCAAAAGGCGGGGCTTATCCCCCGAATATCCGCCAAGGTCCACCCAATAGACTTCTTCCTCTTTTGTAGCACCTCCAATGTGGAATCTACATGCACGTTAGTCAAACAAGAGGAAAGAATAACCAGTAAAGTAGGACAAGGACTAAGAAATTCATACCGAAGATGTGGAGACAATGGATACAACTTCAAGGTCGGAGGCTCTTCAATAGAAGGCTTTGTAGGAGTACTTGTCCTATTTTCAAGATCCAAGGATAATTTCCGGTGTGCACAATTGTACGACCCCATTCCTTGCAAAGAGTTCACATATTACATGAAGCCATCCATCTCGTCATCATCAAAGTTGAGCAAGACAGCCTCCAACATATCACCAATATTGATTGTAGTAGTTGTTTCATCAACAATAACATTGGTCAACAAGTCCACAAAGAACGCACCTCATTGCTATTTGGTTGCCGCGTGGAATTACCCACATGAAATACCACTTTTTCATCACCAACCCGGAAGGTAAGCTATCTGGCTTCAACATCACAAAGAGCCTTCCTCGTAGCAAGGAAAGTTCGCCCAAGAATAATCGGCACTTGATAATCAACCTCACAATCTAGAATGACAAAATCCGCCGGAAGAATGAATTTATCAACACAAACCAAAACATCTTCAATCACTCCCAAGGGTCTCTTCATAGTACGGTCGGCTATTTGCAATCTCATAGAGGTGGGTCTTGGTTTCCCAATTCCCAAAGTCTTGAAAAACAAATAGCGCATCAAATTGATACTTGCCCCAAGATCGCAAAGAGTTTTAGCAAACTCGGCACTTCCAATTGTACAAGGAATCGTGAAAGCACCGGGATCCTCCAACTTAGGAGCCATTGAATGCACAATTGCACTCACTTGACGAGTGACTTTGATGGTTTCAAAATTCATTGACCGCTTCTTTGTCACAAGATCCTTCATAAACTTTGCATAACCGGACATTTGTTCCAAAGCTTCAACTAATGGCACATTGATTGAGAGACTCTTCATCATTTGAATGAACTTCTTGAATTGATTATCACCATTTTGCTTGGCAAGTCTTTGAGGGTATGGAGGTGGAGGCTTAGGCAATGGTGCCTTAGCTTTTTGCTCTACCGGCTCGGGTATGTCAATAATGTGTTCCCTAGACTGGTTTACCTCATCTTGAGTCTCTTCCACACTATCATCAATGTCAATCTGAACTTCATCATTAGGTTCACCACATTGTTTGAGATCTCCTCTTCTTGCATCACTCGATCATCATCAACAAGTTGCCTTTGACTTGAGGTGGGTGCATTCCCCCCTCTTCCACTTCTTGTGGTAACGGCCATGGCATGCCCCGTGTTGTTTCCACTCTTTGGGTTTACTACCGTGTCACTTGGTAGTGCCCCCATAAGACGAGAATTTAGAGCTTGAGAGATTTACCTCATTTGAACTTCTAGGTTGCGAATTGATGCATTGTGTGAGCAAGTTGGGTATCCAAATCGGCATTCTTTTCCATCATTTGCTTGAAAATATTTTCAATACGCCCTATCTCATTGTTTGAAGAACTTGAACCATGGGAAGGATAAGGAGGCGGTTGCTCGGTTGTTTGTACATCGGGGGCCTTTGAAATTCCGATCCCCGGTTGCCTTGATTGTTGTTCCATCTGCCTTGATTGTTCCCCCCCCCCCCCCCTTTTTT